GGCAGCAAAATGTAAAAGCAAATTAGTAAACAGTTATTATACGAATCGAAGAGCAAGCTGTTAAGTATGTAGCATAGATTCCTCATACAGTACACATTTTTAATTATATTCTTTGTCAAAATATCACTGACAAGGCTTTGTTTAGCTGTACTGATCAGATATTATCGTTTTTACTGTCGCCCTCGTTTCCCGTGTGTGGGGAAAGTCCATGTAACAATTTGGGTGATAGTAACTGAAGCAAGAACATAGACTGTATGTGTATTCATAGTTGTATGCACCTTATTTAAAGGTGTATACGACTCTGTTTTTCATAAAATCTGCAAGTAAAATTACCACTGCTAGGGAAACTTTTCTCTCAAGAACGTGAATTTTCCGGCCACCTCTACCCAGAGCGCAAATGGGACATCCCTGATTCAAGATGGCTGCCTTCAGAATGAGCTTGACTTTTTCGTCGGCGACCTCGAAGTTATCTTGCCTTCGCTTAGCTCTGAGGCGAAGTTCCAGCCTGTCTCTAAGCCAAGACTTAGCTGGACAAATAGGGAAGCATTGTGCGCGAAATCGGTGTTTTTCCGCAGCTGAAACGCCGTTTTTCCGACCGCGGACCGGTCTTACATCATGCAACGTGCAGCCTAGAACATTCCGAGGCCTCGACGGTCGCGCGCTCGGCTCTACACAACTGTTACACAGAAACGTTTTACACAGACCAGAACAGTTTTATCTACAGAATAGACCGTTCTCCGGACTAGGAGGCGGCCAGGACGATGGGAACGGCAGCAGTAGCAGTTCGGGAAGCGACGGGAGAGAGGATGGGGAAGGAGACGGGCTGAGCGGTGGGGAGGGGGGCGGTCCGGGGGATCCCGGGGACCAGCCGACCATGGCGTACACGCCCCCGCCCATGTCGGCTCTCACACCGATGACAGTGCCGGAGGTTTTCCCTAACGTCCCCCTGGTTCCCGTCAGTCGAAACCCCGTCTTTCCGCGGTTTATCAAAATAGTAGAGGTATGTTACATAGTAAAAAGTAAAAAGAAATGTTCAACGTGTTTACGTACGTGTAGATAATGTAAGCAACTTTCAATATAAAAAAAGAACGTGGCTATATACACTCCCGGAGTGTATATAAAATCTATTTGTCTTTTATATACACTCCGGGAGTGTATATAAAATCTATTTGTCTTTTATATACACTCCGGGAGTGTATATAAAATCTATTTGTCTTTTATATACACTCCGGGAGTGTATAT